AGTAGCTGGGATTACAGGCACGCACCACCATGCCCAGCTAATTTTTTGTATTTTTAATAGAGATGGGGTTTCACCATGTTGACCAGGATGGTCTCGATCTCTTGACCTCGTGATCCACCTGCCTCGGCCTCCCAAAGTGCTGGGATTACAGGCTTGAGCCACCGCGCCCGGCCCTTGGAACAGTTTTTTGTTTTTTTTTTGAGACAGAGTTTCACTCATGTTACCCAGGCTGGAGTGCAATGGCACGATCTCGGCTCACCGCAACCTCTGCCTCCTGGGTTCAGGCAATTCTCCTGCCTCAGCCTCCTGAGTAGCTGGGATTACAGGCACGTGCCACCATGCCCAGCTAATTTTTTGTAGTTTTAGTAGAGACGGGGTTTTTACCATGTTGACCAGGATGGTCTCGATCTCTTGACCTCGTGATCCGCCCGCCTCGGCCTCCCAAAGTGCTGGGATTACAGGCTTGAGCCACCGGGAACAGTTTTTTTTTAAATAATAAAAGACTGAAGTTTTTATTAACATCTGGCTGTACCTCATATGTCAGGCTCTGAATATACCATGGATAAATTCCATTAAACAGATTTACAAATTTGACTCACGTTGATTTTTCTAATTCCTAAAATGGTTTTTATTCGGTCATAGAGGTAATCTGTTTTGCTGCATTCTTTTTCCCAGGAATCTTTATCAAATTTTATTTAGAAAACTAAGTTTTTAAGAGAGGAGGGTCAAAAAAGGAAAAGTTTACCTACCCTAAGTTGCTTAGAAAATTCTAAGCATTTGGGAATTGACAAAGGATATAATAGGAATAATCATTAAATTACAAGATGACTTAACATCAGGATTCTTTACAACATTTGATTTGAGGTCATATCCTACTTTCCTAATACAAAAGTATTTTGTTGGCCAGGCGCAGTGGCTCAAACGTGTAATCCCAGCACTTTAGGAGGCTGAGGTGGGTGGATTGCTTGAGCTCAGGAGTTTGAGACCAGCCTGGGCAACATGGCAAAACCCTGTCTCTATAAAAAAATACAAAAATTAGTAATGTGTGGTAGCATGTGCCTGCAGTCTCAGGTCTTTGGGGGCTGAGGCAGGAGGATCTCGATCCCAGGAGGTCAAGGCTACAGTGAGTGCAGATCATGCCACACTGAACTCTAGCCTGGGTGACAAAGTGAGACCCTGACTCAAAAAAAAAAAAAAAGGAAATATGTTAATTCCCTGTTAATTTGCCATATCTTACATAAGCACACCTTGCTCATCACGCTAGAAAACAAATGTGACAAAGAAATGAGACGTTCTCAATAAATAATATTCAAAATAGTTTTTGATTTTAAATTCTTTCAGATTGGGATTAGCTCCACTGATAATTTGAGCTTCCAGAGGAACCATTTAAATTACCAAAATTACTTTTTAAATGATCGAGTGGGACTATTTTCCCCTTTCCTATTTTTTTTTTTTTTTTTTTTTTTTTTTGGGAGACAAGGTCTTGCTCTATTGCCCAGGCTGGAGTGCAATGGTGTGGTTATGGCTCACTGTATCCCTGACCTCCTGGGCTCAAGCTATCCTCCCACCTCAGCCTCCTGAGTAGCACAAGCATGCGCCACCACGTCCAGCTAATTTTTAATTTTTATTAGAGACAGAGTCTCCCTTTGTTGCCCAGGATGGTTTCGAACTCCTGGGCTCAAGTGATTCTCCCAACTCCACTTTCCGAAGTGCTGGTATTATAGGTGTGAGTCATTGCACCTGGCCCCTTTCCTAAATATTATAGTTCTAGGACCAAACATGGAAAAAAACTATTATTTCAGAGAATTAGATGTAAACGTGATTTAAAATCCCTTCGAAGCTCTAAAACTTGCTGAGATTTTTATTTTTTTGAGATGGGGTCTTGCTCTGTCACTCAGGCTGGAATGCAGTGGCGCGATCTTGGCTTGCTGCAACCTCCACCTCCTGGGTTTAAGTGATTCTCCTGCCTCAGCCTCCTGAGTAGCTGGGACTACTGGCGCATGCCACCATCCAGCTAATTTTTGTATTTTTAGTAGAGGTGGGGTTTCACCGTGTTGGCCAGGCTGATCTTGAATTTCTGACCTCAGGTGATCTGCCTGTCTCGGCCTCCCAAAGTGTTGGGATTACAGGTGTGAGCCACTATGCCCCACTGTTTTTTATTTATTTTGAGATGGAGTGTGGTGGTGTGATCTCAGCTCACTGCAACCTCCACCTCCTGGGTTCAAGTGATTCTCCTGCCTCAACCTCCTGAGTAGCTGGGATTATAGGCACATGCCACTAAGCCCAGCTAATTTTTGTATTTTTAGTAGAGATGGGGTTTTACCATATTGGCCAGGCTGGTCCTGAACTCCTGACCTCATGATCCACCTGCCTCAGCCTCCCAAAGTGCTGGGATTACAGGAGTGAGCTACCACACCCAGCCTGAAATTTTAAAAAATTTTAACAAAAAATCCATCCACTATTAACTATTTTTACAGCTTACTCTGGCTTGTTCTCGAAGTTCATCCACAATTAAGCGATCAACTCTAGATGGGTTGGAGGTCAGCCTTGGAATTGGAGTGTTGTTAGTACTGGATACTTTTTTCCCAGGATAATTCTTGGCAAGGGCTAATTCAGTCTGTAAAAAATTACATGCATTTTAGATCCAGAATTTTCTAAATATGATTTGACGATGAGTAATAGTTTTCATAAGCCTAATAGAGTATTACCACTTTAAATGAAAATTTGGTTTTGGTATCAAAAGGCAATAAATATAAACCACAATACCACAGTATTTTTCTATCATCTTAATACCTGAGTATACTAACAGGTCAACACAAAAAATTTCAAAGAAATAAACTTATAGCCATTAAGGGAGTAAAAAATTTACTTCAGGGCAAATCAACTTAGAATAACAATAACTTTAAAATGTCAAGCATTTTTTTGTCTTTATTTAAGCTTCCCACTGGCCAATCCCATCCATTTTTAGTTTTTAAGTAACCAATTTAATTCTTTACAGTCATGAACTTAGCAAATCCTAGACATTATGGAATTCAGCTAAGAAATAAGGCAAGGTGGCTGGGTGCAGTGGCTTACACCTGTAATCCCAGCACTTGGGACACCAAAGTGGGAGGATCGCTTGAGGCCAGCAGTTTGAGACCACCCTGAGGAACATGGTGAAACCCAGTCTCTACAAAAAATTATAATTAGCTAGGCATGGTGGCATGTGCCTGTAGTACTAGCTACTCAGGAGGCTGAGGAGGAAGGATTGCTTGAGCCTAGGAGTTTTAAGTTAGAGTAAATTATGATTGTGCCACTGTACTTCATCCTGGGCAACAGAGCAAGACTCTGTCTCTTTAAAACAACAACAA